GGCCAGGAGCAGTGGAAGGAGCCGTTGTAGGACTCAGCCTGGCAGGACACGTTGATCTCCTCCTCGCCTGAAGGGTTCAGGGGTGGCTGGTCAGGGGTGGTGCCCCCTCCCCGCAAGGGGCTCCCCACAGCCCTCATGCCCACGGGCTGGGCACCAGGATCCCCTGCTCCTCATCCCTCCACCCCCATCACCCCAGCCATGCCCTGCTTACGGGTGTTGCTGAGCACCACGTAGGTGCTGTCCAGCAGGACAGGGCCAGCCCAGCAGCTGTAGTTGCCCGTGGCTGGCAGGTCCAAGCCCAGGATGATGAGTTTCTGGCCCTCAGGCACCAGCTCAGCCATGGGCTCCTCGTCCCCGTTCAGTGTCCAGGAGATGTGCTGCTCTGAGGTGTCAGTGTCACATCGCACCACCACATCCTGGCTCAGCTTCCCCACCTGGACTGGAGGTGAGAGGCAGATTGTCCACTGGTGGGCTGTGGTGAGGGCAGATTGTTCCCCAAACCACCGTGGGTGGTGGCCTCACAATCCTCACCCAGCTCCTTCACCCCACATCACCCCAATGCCCACCCTCCAATCTCCTAGCAGAGCTGTCCCAGCTCCTATCAGAGGGTTTGGGATGCCCCCCACTCCCTGTGCTGTCCCAGCCAGGTTCTCCCTCCAAGGCCTCCCTGTGCCCCACAGCAGCACTCACACTTTGGGGGGAAGGCAGTCAGGGCTTGTGCAGGCACCAGGAACAGCAGCAGCCCCAGCAGCGCCAGCATCTGGGAAGGGAAAGGGCAGGGAAGGGCAGCCCCAGCTGGACACTGCCCAGGAGAGGGGCACAGGCAGGGCAGAGCCCCCCGCCCTGAGAGCAGCAGGATCCCCCCCAAGACCCCCCATTCTGTGCTTACCTCTGCGTTGTCTCCGGTGGGCTCAGCAGAGCCGGGGGCTGCGCTCTTATACTGGGCTGGGCTGAGTGGGGCTGCCCCAAGGTGCAGTCACAGCAGCATCACACTTCTTAGAACTGCAGGATGGGACCCACGCTCAGCCCCCTCCCTGCCTCCCACCCACAGCAATGCTGGTGCTTCCCGGGGGGGCAGGGGGCACAGACACCCCCTGCCCTGCCCTGCAATGCCAGGGGATGGGTCACCCTGGGAGCACCCAGAGAAGGGGCAGCACTGGGTATCTGGGGTGGTGTTGGGGTTTTGGGTGGTCCCAGCTCTCTCAGAGAGGGGTCCTGCAGCACCTGAGGGTCTGCACATCATCAGTGTGTGCTGCACAGAGCCCCCCCAGTGCTGCACAGAGCCCCCCAGTGCCCTGCTGTGGGGTGGGGAATCCTGTGGGGTCTCTCAGCACCTGTGCTGGGGGGCTGGAGAGGGGCAGCTCAGGGCTGGGCCCCTCTGGGTGGGTTGAGGAGAGCGGAGGGTTGCCACAGAGGCTCAGGGTGATGCCTCCAGGCTGGCACGCCCCTTCCATCCCCTCCTCGGGCCACGGTGTATCCCATGGGGTGCTGTGCAGAGATGAGGACGTAGGGACAGAGATCACCAGGGCCACCAGCTGCCCCTTTGCCACCCCACTGGTGCCAGCCCATGCTGAGGGCACACAGCAGAGCCCACCCTGGGGAAGGCAGTGCTGTACCCTTTCACGTACTTTCTGCAGTTCCTAGAAAGCAAAGAGGGAACTGGGGCTGTGGGAGGCTGGGGCAGCCCAGCTCTCACCTTTTGAGGCCAGGACAGGCCAGTGGGACCTCCAAGGCCCCTCCCTGAGCTGAGCCAAACCCCAGTGCGTGGGCTGAGGGGTGGAGATGGGGAGCCAGGACCCCCAGGCCCCATGGAGCAGCTCAGCCCTTGGCTGTAGCACTGTAGGGAACCCCAAAAGGAGAGGGAAGGGATGCCCTGTCCTGGGGTGCCCCCGTGCCCTGCCCTGTCTGGGGGAAGCAGGCACTAGCAGCAGGTTGGGGGCCCCGCTCGCCCCCATCTCACAAACCACAGCTTCCCCTTGGCTTCTGCAGAACAACCACAACCACAGAGGGGAAGTCCTGAGGCAAAGGCCAGGGATGCCCTCAGAGCCTCTGCGTGGTCGGAACCCCAGCCTGGCACCCGAAACACGGGTGGGAGGGAGAGAGGACTCACAGACAGAAACCATTCCTGGG